TATCGCTGAAAATATCGATAATCTTTTAATCGATTATCTACAAACAGTTACATACAAAATATAATGTTTATATGTAACTCCTTTTTAAAGGTTAGAATTACATAAACCTATGATTATATTGATTTATGTTTGAAGTTTAAAAAAATAAAATACGCTATATTAGTTTAGCGGAAACAGAGCCATTTTAATTCTGCGATTTCTTAAAATGGCGCTCGAGCTTCCTGTAAGCTTAGAATTTATAATTAGTTATTTAGAAATTTGAAATACCTAGCATACTTGTTGTAAACAGATACCTGTTACTTGTAGATTGTTCATGTTCACTTTATCTATAGACAGGTAAGGCGTGAGTTAAAAAGTAACTAACACAATGGACTCAAATTATTTTCATTAAGGCAATTTATTTCTTTATTTATTCGATACTAATATTATAAAGAGGTAAGGTTTGTGTGTTGTGACGTTGTAGGGGGCAATCTCGGGATCTACTGAACCGATTTAGATGAAATTTGGTAAGAAGATAGTTTCAGACCCTGGGAAGGACATAGGTTACTTTTTATCCCGGAAATCATTCCTTAAGGGGGTGAAAATGGAGATAAAACTTTGTATTGAGAAACAAGCTAGAGACGAACCCGAGCGAAGCAAGGGTGAGACGCTAGTTTTTAATAAAGCCCATTACCTACTTTTATTCATTACCATTTTTTTTCATATCAAACAGTACACGAATTATTATTTGTATAATAATTTAAAACGATTAATATTTTAAGATTCTCATTTATATACTTTTTTATAATTTTATATTATTTTAAAACACTATTGTTTGGCTTCATGTTTAATTCCATGATATTCTGTCTATATTGTTCCTTAGTTTAAGATCCGACAGCTATACTTTATTACCTATAATTTACATATATATATATAAACAGAAAGAAGACCAAAACTAGCGATTCTAGAGATCAATTACCACATCCTTATAACATTTGAATACAATGTTAACAAATCTACTTTACTACTATGTACTGCAATTTTAGTATATAAAGTTTATATTAGCACATAAGTTTTTGAGATGGATTGTAACAAAAAATGCACTAATGGACTCACTTACGGCACATTAAACGACAAAAAGAGTATAATGTCAGTTATTAAGTCACCCGGTCATTGCGCGGTGAGATTTTTTTGCTTTCACTTGTTAAAGGTAATGTATGAAATGAATGTGCTTATGGCTTTAAATGACATCTTTTTTATGTCGCAGGTATATTGTATAATTTGTTGATTGTTTGTAAGCGCTGAATTGTGAAATGCCTAAGGCATTGCTAGCTTCTTCTTTAAAAACAAAATTATTATAATACCATTCTTGAGTCAATTTGTAGGCATGTCTGTCTGTTTGTCTGTTTTTATTCGTACTAACTGAATAAAATTGATTGATAAAATACAAAATAATTGCAATGTCTTCATTTTTAAAATAATTATACTTTAGTATAATAAAAATTATAAAATGAAAATAAAAAATATTAATTAAAATGTACGAATATTGGCTTATATCCCTTATTTAGGCATCTAACTTCAAAACAATACAAAAATTTTACACTTTCCATTGCAATAATAAAATTTAATTTATGCACAGCGCCATCTAGTTAATTTAATTAAAACTGATACTAACAAATTAAAACATTAATAAATTACACCGCTAGATGGCAGCTCATCACAAAGAAACTTCTTTATACTTATTAGTATTTGAAGAGTCCGCTAGATGTCGCTATTTTTTACTTATTTTTATGACGAAATTAGTGTAATAAAATGAACAACCATTATTAAAAATAACATATCTAATTTACAATAGTTAGAAGATTAAAATTATAATTATAATATATATATATATATATATATATATATATATATATATATATATATATATATAATAAATTACAAAATTTGATACATGAGATCTAAAGGTGACATAAGACATTGTTAGTGTATGTACCTATCCTAATTTAAAAGATTTTTTTAAGATTTTATAACATACTAGTAGAACCCGCGGCTCCGCCCGCGTTCAGATGACCAAAAACCAAATTCTTAGGTTTTACATATTACTATACTCAGCAGCAGTTTTTGTATTTTTTCTCAGAAATGAGATATTTTCCCACGGTAAAAAGTATCGTATAATATGTTGACCCGGATAACCAGCTATCACCATACCAAATTTCATGAAAATCCCTCCAGTGGTTTTTCTGTGATGCGGTAACAGACAAACAGACAAAAATTCTAAAAATTATAGATTTGGCCTCTGTATCCATAATAATGTCTATTTCAATAAGATTTTTCAAAAAATATTTAATGTACAGATTCGGCTTAGTTACAGTTTTATTATATATATGGACTAGCAGAACCCGCGGCTTCGCTCGCGTTAAAACTACAAACCAATTTCTAAAAAGGTAGTTTCATATAAACTTTCATGCGCTATTTTACCCCCTTATAGGATGAATTTCGAAAAATACTAAAACACGTAAATTTACTTAATTTTAAAATATTTTGGGTTTAAAAATTATATCTTTGTATGCATAATATGCATCTGAGTTTTAACTTGCTGGTGATTTGATTTCAAGTGAGCTTAAAAAACTGTCTATAACGTTAGGCAATTTTTCAAATAAATTATGGTAATGAATTTAAAGACCAACTATGTTTTTGGTTGTCATAGATAGGTATTATTATTTAAATGGAAAGGGATTAGCTACTGAATACTCTATGTAGAGAGATAATAGAGTATATTCCACGCAAAATATGGTCGCTTAAAAAGTAATAAAAAATAAAATAAAATATAAATAAAGGCGTAAGTTTGACAACAACTTTTTTTTTTGTATTTATTCAAATTTTTTGTTTGTTTTTTTTATCTTTTTTTTTTTTTTGGGCAAAAACTCCGAGCGAAGCTCGGTCGCCCAGGTCAGTACTTATAATATAAACAAGAAAAGTTTTGATAAATCGACGCTAAAATATATGATGTGCCTTAAGATGGATGTATATAGATGTCGCGTAAAAGAAGGACAAACCAATAAATACACTTCCGCGTTTTTATATAAATGGTGTTATTAATTCATTATATTATTAAATTCTTTCAAATACCTTCTGAGTAAGAGAAACGTATTAACCCTTATAATTGCCGTTTTCTCAACTTATAGTATGAATACAAAAAAAAATTGTCGAGTTAAAAATGTAAAGTTCTTAATATTTTCTTACAAAATATACCTAATGTAGATATATATGTACCTACTTGATTTCGTGATTAATTTTAAAATATAGATGGCATAGGCTTAGATAACGATTTAAATATACCAAAGCTGAGAATTAAATATTTACTAATTAATATATACATTACATTCAGTATCACTGGGGTTGGAATCCTGTGTTAGGAATCTGGAATATGCCATGTGCGGGAAGTAAACCCGCAGACTGCAATCGTTCATAAATTAGCACCGTAATTATTATGCTGATCTGACACTCAATCTTTATATATATAATTCTTCTGTGAGTGTGTATGTCACTGAACTTCTCTCAAATGACTGGACCGATTTTGATGAAATTTTTTGTGTGTGTTCAAGGGGATCTGAGAATGGTTTAGATTCACAATTTGAATAATAATTTTCATCAAAATGGTCCAGAATGTTTTAGCTTATTAAAAAAAGTTTGAAATTTTCAAATTAAAGACGTGTAGACAGGACAACGTCTGTCGGGTCAGCTAGTATTACTATAAGTATAGTAGAGTTTAAATAGAATTATTAAATTATATTTATAAAAAAGTTAAAGATTTTTTTATTTTTCCCATAAACGAAACCAGGTAAAATGTTAAGTATTCAATAATAAACATTACAATAAAATGAAGTAGCTTACAATGGTTTAACTGAAAGCAATCCCATGTATTGAGGAGAAACGCAATTACCGCATTTTAGACCGCAAACATACGGTACGGTGAATAATTTAGCAAAAAGTTTTTTTTTTGAATTCGTTTGATATATTAACCAAATTGCCAGTACTTTAATACTTTCTTAGATTTACGCGAATATTTGACATTTTAAATAAAACTATCTTTTCAGATTTTTTCGCGAATTTATTTTGATTTTTGGTTCCCGGCGTTTCGTATGCTTTACAGCAATCATGGTCACGGGAGAGAATGAGGTGTTAGATGTCTCTAAGGTATTATATAGTTGTTACAGACAGCCTAACGTCGGTAACCAAAAATCAAAATAAATTCGCGAAACAATCCGAAAAGATAGTTTTATTTAAAATGCCAATACTTTGTTAAAATATGAATAATAATCTATATACAAATCATTTAGTGGGTAGCTTTAAATAAATGTTTTTATATATAAGGTTAAAACCTATGTAACTCCAGACGTATAAACCACCGGCTCGGAAACCAGTTTTGCTGAGAAGAGCCAGCAAGAAACTCAACAGTTGCTTTTTTTAAAATTCATTAACAGTATCTAATAATTAAAATTTAATAAACAAATAAAAATAAAATATGTCAGGACATTAACACACACCACCATCTAATTCCATGGTAAACTACGAGGTTTATGTTATGGATACCAGATAGTTGATACACTGCACATATATAACTTTAAATACATACATATTATAAATATAAACACCCATGACTGGAGTACAAACATTCGTGCTCATCACACATATGAATGTCCCCAGCGGGACTCGAACCCGCGACCGCTGGCACAGCAAGTAGGGTCACTACAGACTGAGCTAAACGTGTCGTCAAAGTATATGAGTCAATTTATTTTAATTCTACACATTTCCATCAACTAGAAACTCTTGTATAAAGTAATATGCTTCACTCACTAATATATTTTTTAATTTTATGTACATATGTCGGTTAAACCATGTAGTTGCAAAAATACTCCCAGTGTATCCCAGCCTTATATTTAAAATAGATTCAGTGACCCACGACTGTTACTTTGCCACATGACATTGTCTTTGTCATTTCACCTTAGTTTGTTAAAATGAGTGCTAGCGCGAGTTTTACTTTAATGGTAAGTATTTTTTTTTTCTAGTTTTAGGTTGAATAGAAATCATTTCTAGCACAGATATAGCATAAGATACTTTTATTTCGGTATAACATTTATTTTCAGTTAGATATTAGTTTATTTTATATTATATTCAACCCTTTTTTTAACGTCCCACTGAGCTGGACACGGGCCTTCCTTCAATATGATCAGGCCATAGTCCGCCAAGCTGGTCAAGTGCGGGCGGACTTCAGTTATCTTGCTTGCTAAGTTCTCTTAGACATAGTTACGTATATTATATGTAGGTTTGTTCACGATGTTTTCCTTTACCGTAAGACGAGTGGTATGTTGGAAATGATAAAAATTTTACATATTACTATTATTAAATTGTATATCCTTGAGGAAGTTTCATTATTTTCATATTCATTAAAAACAATATGAAAATATGTTAACAACAAGTGAAGATATCGCCAATCAATCATACCAGCAAAACATCTATCATAATAACTATCTACATCCAAATCGCACAGACAGACATATTGCTTTAAAATAATCTACATTTTTCTAACAGTCCTAAGATTTTTAACTAAACATTTCGCTCAGGACCGTAACGCTTACATCGTCTCATTTCATTGTATGACTGCAGTGGATACTCGTCTTAAGTGCTTTCAAAGCTCAAAGTACAAGTACTTTGCGTAAAAGCGTTTTCTTATAAAAATATAAGAGAATACTATATTTGCGGAGTTAAGGGTTAGACAATGACCCACCACTTTTTTCCACTATTATCTAATGTAAAAAAAATATAACTATAACATCTAGAAAGCTTATTCTTCCTTCGTCTTCTGCAATATTTAGAGCTCGTCAAAATCATGCTAAATGAGCCTATGTTAGAGAGTCATACAAATCATATTACACTAGCAAAATTTAAAATCGACACAATAACTTAAAAAACATTTTAAATAAAACTATCTTTTCGGATTATTTCGCGGATTTATTTTGTTTTTGGTTCCCTACCAACCAAAAATCAAAATAAATCCGCGAAATAATCCGAAAAGACAGTATTATTTAAAATGTCAAATATTCGCGTAAATCTAAGAAAGTATTAACTTAAAAAACGTTAAAATAGTGAAACTATCTAATAATAACAAACTGCATACACTTTAGATCAAACTTTTTTATAGAGTTTCATTGAAAGGTTATAATTATATTAAACTTTATTACGTTAAATATATGAAAGTTAAAAATTAATTTACCTCATATTATTTAAAATATTTTAATTTTAAATTCAAAATGGCTATGAAATATAAAAGCTCATAAAAAGCTTAATTGTCACACACAATTAAATATGCGATTAATTAACATTATTCTAGGCGACTTGGTTCTTTGTGACGACGAATTCACTGGAAAACATTTCGGACAATGGCTGGAGACCCATGTCAAACGAAAAAGTAGCTGAATTACGAAATTTCATTAAAAATCCCCGGAATGTTGGATTTTCGGCACATCCGGATATCTTGGAAAGGAGAGAAATAAAAATTCCCAATGAAAGTAAACAGTCTACAAAAGAATATGGAGTCATTTTCCCGTACTGGAGGGAAGAATCTAAAAAGAACACTGGTATTTAGCTTTCCTTATTTTCGTTTTTATAAAAACTATGTTCTTCGTAATACAAGAGTAGGTAACTATAATTTTAGAGCTTTAAATAATGTATATTTTCAACTTTTTCCCTTTTACATAATAATATATTATAACTACTAACTATTGTCTGTGACTACGCAAAAAAAATCTACGATTATGAAATCAAATTGTGAAGTTTTATATCTACACTAGCTTGCTTCCCCATACAAACTTTCTTTCCCATTTTTACCCCTTAAGGGATCATTTCCGGAATAAGAAGTATTTTCTGTCCCTTCCAGGGTCTCAAACTATCTTCTTACCAAATGTCATCTTAATCGGTTCTGTAGATCCAGAGATTACCTCCTACAGCGTCACAAACTCACAAACTCACAAACTTTACCTCTTTATAGTATTAGTATAGATATAATAAGTGAATTTTATCTAATTAATCGTATTTATTTTCAGATTTCGATTTTATTCATAAGACAGCACCAAATATTTTAGAACTTCAAAGTGATTTATATCCTAAACAAATAGTTCGTAAAGCTAAGAAAATTGACGATACCTATAGTCAATCTAACAAAAATGCAATTGATGAAGAAGATATTAAAAAATTAAACAATGCAGAACTAAATATAAAAAGTGAATCAAATAATTATGAAGTAATCGAGAATGTAAGAGATGATGAAAAGAAAGAAGTAGAGGAAATAGAAAGCACCGTTGGATATGTTTATGAGAAGCCCAAAGCGGAAGCAAAGGAAATGAATCATTTAACTAAAAACCTTTTTAGTATTCTAGCTAATTACAATATAAGAACTAGTGATAAATTACCTAATTATGCTTTATCTTTGCGACAAAACAGCCGGAATTCTGACCAAGATTTTATTTACATGCAAGTACCTATAAAGCTCCCTCTAAGATACAACAGTCCTGAACATTTACCTCTTGACTCCTTATTAGCCGTGTTTTTGTCGAATTATGGCTATTATTTGCCCGGACTATATGGATTTCAACGAAATTACAATAACTTATATGGATATTTAGCATCTAACAATATTCATAATAACAAACCTTTTGGTTCTTATAAGATCTTTTCAGATACTGATTCGTTTCATAAATATTAAGTTCTTAATAGGATTTTAGTTTTTCTTGTGTATCATTATTAAAAGTTAGTTCAAAAAAAATAGTTGGCACTCCATTACAGGAGGCAAAATTGACTATAATCATATCTAGATTAAGTTATTCTTTATTTGTTGTAATTAATTTATAAGAGTTATAATAATTTATTGTATCACCTGTACATGTCAAATGTACTATACTACACAGTATTGAAAATGCCAACTAAAAAGAGGGAAACAAGTTGACGAAGGAACATAGTATATGCAGTCGGAGACATGCATGTTTTATTCTCGCTGTGTGTCTGTCTACAAGTATTTAGTCTAAGTGAACCTAGGATTGGACATACATACAAGTTAAAAAACTTAACTTTCCTAAGAGCTTCGCAGTCGGTGTAACAAATTGCTTCTGCTTAAGTAATGAAAGTTTTGGTAATTGACATACACGAAAATGTTAGTTTGACATACTCGTAGTACAAAGTATTGTAAGAGTATAGCACGAGTTTGAACACACGCGCGACAGTTACAGTGCCCTCGTAAAAAGTGACTCTGTAAAGTTTGTGAGTTAAATAAACTTTCAAAAACGACATTTTCGTTCACAATTTGCTCGCATCCTGTTCACTATTCATTCTATTTGTTATTTTTTAAAGTGGAGCTTAAATTTGTTAAAAAATTTCATTGATAATATCTTATATTAATTTACTTTTGTGTGTAGAACATTAGAAAATAATAGATTATCGGTTATTATACTAACGTCCATACATTTAGAATATTAAACCGATTTTAATATTTATAAACGTCTCATAAAGAAAAATAGATAAATAAATTCCTTTTCATACTGTACGATTTATTTTATTTATATTTCTTTAAACCAAATAAGTCTTTAAAGACGATTTAATATTTAAGAGTTTTTGAGAAACATCTCACTATCATTTGTATTGACTATGAGCTTGTATAAAAATAAAGACGGAACAGAATGCAATAAACTTCTTATGAGCTTTAAGCTTTTTATGTATTGCAAGAGTAAGCGTTTTATGTTAATAGATTTTATAATATTCATATATGTATATGCTACTTCTTATACTGCCTCGGTGGTGTAGTGGCTAGCATGTACGGCTGCACACCCGGAGGTTCTGGGTTCGAGTCCCGGGTCGGGCCAAGTTTAGTTATTGAGTCTTTCTGTATAGTAAGTCTCAGTAACAGCCCGGAGTTGGGAAGTTGGCGGTGTTTCACCCCCGTGCCTCGGAGAGCACGTAAAGCCGTCGGTCCTGCGCCTTAACTCTCACCGGTCGTGTCTCGTGTCGTCCCACCGGAATATGAGAGTGACAGGAATAGAGAGTGCACGTTGTTTCTGCGTTGTCACTTACTCGTAATTCTAACAATATTTCGAACAGCAAAACTGACGAATTTGGATATAAACTTTCATTCCCTATACAAACTTTTAATCCCTATTTTGTCCCTTAAAGAGATGAATTTAAAAGTCATTAGCCTGCCTCCGTTATACTCATTATATAATTATCTCTTGCGTAGAAATTCGTGCTTCTAATAATTTTAAACCCACTTGCTTAGGCTGTCTGTCAGTATATAAATTTAAGATTTTACTAAGTATATTTACATAAAAAAACTTAACGTATCTATTTATGATATTATATACATCCATTTCTTTACCAAAATTAATTAAACCATAATATTTTAATGTTAAAAATATTACTAACATAATATTTATATATGTATATTCGTACATTATATTCAAAATCCACTTTTTTATAGCATTCTTAGCTCAAATTTCATTGATGTCTTAAATATATAATTTAATTATATGCCAAGGCATTAGCAGTTAAAGTTCTCTAAAATTTAACACCTCACATACTGAAACGGTTATTTTATTTCTAAAATTATACGAAGCTCGCAATAATCGCTATAAGCTCTACACTTAAGGAGCAAAGCTTATTGGGTCGTCCGCAATATAAACTAAATCTTAAGTTCTTTTCCACCAAACAAATAGTCCACAGTATTTAATGACGCTACTTGACTCTACTTTCATATTTAAAAATATATATATCTATTCTGCGATATAACGAAAGCAATAAAATAGAAACAATTGAGTTTATTTATGTATAATATTCTATTATACTATAAGTTTTTAATAACTTTTTTTACACTATACGGGCCTTACTTAATCAGGGCTCACTTAAACGTTCAATATACATACATACATACATATGTATGTATATTGAACACATGTACATAAGATCGCGATAAACCATACCAATATAAATACAAAAACAAGTATTATTAATACCAAACTTGATTGAGTGTTAATTTGCCAGTTTTTAGGGTTCCGTACCCGAAGGATGCCAACTCTACTACTAATCCTCCGCCGTCCATCCATCTGTCAGAGAGCTGTATTTCATGAACTTTAATAGGTAGAGAGTTGAATTTTTTACAAGAGTGTGTTTCTATTGCCGCTATAACAACAAATAATAAAAAATCAAAATGGCCAATTTCAAAAAGGCTGCCATGCAAATTAAAAAAATGTTTATGATACGGAACCCTTTGTATGCGAATCCGACTCACAGTTGACCGATTTTTTAAATCACTTAATCTTATCTATTATTATTATTATTAATGTTGGGTGTGGTGCCGAGGTCGGCCCTAGCTACGTCGACCAGTTTTGGTCCATTGTAGCTCCCTTTATAGTGAGTTCAAAGTTCTCCGCTTAGTCCTGTTGACTCCAGGAACTTCCAGATTTTCTGAGCGGGGAGCATCTGTATCTCTTCCGGTTGCATAATATGCTGCCCTAGATAGATACTTCTGCGGTGCATGAGTGGACCGCACGAGCAGAGGATATGCATAGCAGTTTCCTCTGTCTCATGGCATAGTCTGCACATTGCGGTCTGACTGAGGCCGAGGGTAAACATATGTTTATTGAGTTTGCAGTGACCAGTAAGTATTCTGGTTACTGCACTGGTTTTATACTTGTTGAGTTGAAGCAACTCTTTTGTAAACTTTTTGCGATATCCCTTAATTAGCGCTTTAGAGTGTATTTGTCCAGAAGTGGATTGCCACTCTTGAAGTGCTTGGCGATTGCAGTGAATTTTGAGAATTGAATAGGCATGTTGTTTTGCAATGCCACAGAATGGTTCTGGGCCACAATCTGGGGTTTCAGCGCCCCTTCTTGCCAATGCATCAGCCTTTTCATTCCCATCTATGCCTGAGTGACCCGGGACCCATCTGAGGGTAACTCTGTTGGATGTGCCCAGGACATTCAGATTATCCATACAGTCTTTGACCAACTTAGAGTTGGTCTCAAGAGAATCTATAGCCAGAAGTGCTGCTTGGCTATCTGAGTTGATGTAGATATTTTGGTTTCTAAGCTTCCTCTCCAGGATGACTTCAGCACATTTGTTGATGGCGAAGACCTCGGCTTGGAAGATGGTGGCCTCCTTGCCCAGATTGACACTCATGTCAAATCTAGGCTTAAGGCCATAGATGCCGCACCCTACATCAGATCCTTTCTTGGATCCATCTGTAAACCAAACATGACTGCCCTTTTTGTGAGACTCTTGGTTTTTTAGCCACATGTCCCGGTTGGGAAGATCTATTTGGTACTGTTTTGCGAAGTTAAACTCTGTACTCATGCCATCGACTGGCATTTTCAGAGTTTTGTGTTCGAATGTCAACTCCTTGAGTTTGTTCATATATTGCGATTGCAACTTTACATTCGATTGTGTACAGAGCCTGTAGAGGCAAGATTTAGCTTCTTTTTGCACGTGGAGATATAGCGGAGCTATGTCCAACAATGCATTTAAAGCGTCGCCTGGTGCCGAGTGGAAGGCTCCCGTGATGATTAGACATGCCATCCGTTGTATGCTGTCTAGTTTACTCATAGTTGTCTTTTGTTTGGTTTTGTTACACCATACGACTGAGGCGTATGTTATGATCGGCCTTACCACGGCGGTGTACATCCAGAGAGCCATTTTGGGCTTGAGGCCCCACTTGGCTCCAGCCATTCGACAACATATCCAGAGGGCCATTTTGGCTTTTTGTATAATGTTGTTGAGGTGAGAGTTCCAGGTCAACTTTTGATCAATAGTGACTCCAAGGTACTTTACCTCATTTGATAGGTTAAGGGTTTTGCCATTGAGTCTGAGTTCGGTCAGCCTTTCAAGCTTCCTTTTCCTGGTAAATGGTACAATAACTGTTTTATCAGCGTTTATTGATAACTCATTTTCTCTGCACCATCTTGTGATGGTATTGAGAGCTCCTTGTAACCTGGTGGAAATTGTGTTCAGGCAGGGACCTCTTACTACTACAACAAGGTCATCTGCATAGCCCTGTGTATCGTAGTCGAGATCTGCCATGATTACAAGTAGTAGGTCTACAGCTAGTGTCCATAATAGGGGTGAAAGCACTCCTCCTTGCGGACAGCCTCTTGTAGTGTAGAAGTTGTGCGAGTGTTCGTTTAACGTAACTTTCGCACACCGGTTGGAGAGCATATATTCCACCCATCTGGTGGTTGTGATATCAACACCTTTTGCATTTAATCCTTTCAGGATGGTTGCCGTAGGTGTGTTATCAAAGGCCCCCTCAATGTCCAAAAATGCACATAGAGCTGTCTGCTTATCCTCTAGGGACCTTTCTGCCTTGTCGATCAGAGCTACTAAGGCAGATTCTGTGGATTTACCCTTTTGGTAAGCATGTTGGTTGCAGGAAAGTGGTCTAGCCACAAGATACCTTGTTCTAATGTGCTGATCGATTACTTTTTCCATTGTTTTTAATAGGAAAGAAGTAAGACTAATAGGTCTAAAGGATTTGGGCTGAGAGTAGTCGTTTTTACCGATCTTCTGTATAAAGATAACCTTGACCTTAGTCCATTGTTCTGGTATAATGCCCAAAGCAAAGCTTGCTCTAAATAATTTTACCAGATGCGGGATAAGGAGTTCCATGCCCTGTTGAAGCAGAGCTGGGAAAATTCCGTCTTCCCCTGCTGATTTAAATGGTTT